TGGTGGAGTTGATGTACAAGAAGGCAAAGCAAGAGATCAGTTACACTCTTGTTTTGGAAATTCAGATGGTTATGAGTGTTTTTGCCACTGCCTTTTGCACTATCGGCATGATAATTAACAATGATTTCAAGGTCAGTTTCTCCTGTGTGTATATATATATATATATATATTATATTCTAAAGTGTCTTTATAATGTTGCAAAACAAATTATAGGAAAATTTTCAAATTAAAAGTCTCGAGGTCTAACTTGTCAAGCTATTTAAGTAATAAAGAATAATGCGACCTATTTATTCGATAGGTGATCGTTGTCTTCTCTTAAGATAATTGGAATTATTATATAATATTGCAGGTAATTGGAAGAGAGGCAAGGGAATTCGGGCTGGGGGAATCTAAATACTACACCTTGGTGATTATCACTGCAATGATCTGGCAGTGTTTCTTCGTGGGAGCAATCGGAGTCATCTTCTGTGGCTCGTCTTTGCTGTCTGGGATCATTATTGCAGTTCTAATTCCAGTGATTCAGATCCTAGCCGTGATTTTTTACCGGGAAAGTTTTAAAGCCGAGAAGGGGGTTTCTCTAGCACTCTCCCTTTGGGGTTTCATCTCCTACTTCTACGGCCAGATAAAGCAAAACAAGAAGAAAAAGAAACAAACTCCAAAGACAGAAATGCCTTCACCCCCTAATCCATGACACTTCCTTCTTTTTCCTTTTTACCCTAGTTATATATATATATATATATATATATATATAAACGTTGTGTCCGGTTGATGGTTTTATGGGGAAATTGCTCGACAAGAATCATCATCATTACGAGAACTTATGCTAGCTAGCTAGCTAGTTTAGTTCTAGTTTTTCTAAAATCTGAAAATATACGCTTGTAATTTTAGAATATGTACTTTTTGCAGGTAAATTTTTGGAAGAAAATTATAAACATGAAAAATTTTTCATGATTGCCTAAGAAACTCTACTAGAACAATACTTTTACTGAGGCTCCTGTTAGGCCAAATGAAGTAATGAACTCGAAGAAATAGGTTTCTATACTCATTACCGGATCAGAAGAATATCCCTGCCCCAAATGGTAATCTATCTTCAGGAACTTTTTTCCATTGACTTTTCTGCATCTAAGCTGGCAAGCCTACAAGGATATGAAGCAAAATTCAAAATGTGGACAAAACAACGATCAAAGTGGAGAAATAACCGAACTGAATTTTTGATCTTGATGATTCGTTTTTAAATTTTAATATTTAAATTTAATTGATTAAAAATTTAACTCTCATTAATTATTTCAAAAAAAATTTTACTTTTTAAAATTCTCTTATGTTAAAATAAAAAATGGAAAAACAACCATCACATGTTCAAGCTGTCGACTGATAAGTTAAATGCATGCCAATAGTCCAATAGACGATAACGAACCAAACTGGAGACGGCACGTCTCTCCATATATGACAAAGCGACAGCACCACACACTCTTTAATACTTCACCCAAACTATAGACACTTTCAAGTTTCAACTTCCAAGTTCCACGTTTCTGAGAAATTATTTTCAAGCTTCTGTCTCTCCTCCAAGTCGAAATTTCCTCCATGGGTTCAACAACAAACACACGGGTATTACTGCAGTGATGAGTGAGACAACACTCCCCTTGGTGCTTTACTGGATTACCTTTTTCTTTTTTCGTTTTGGTTTTTTCAAAAAGTACAAATTTTAGAGAAAGAGAGAATTTGAATCAAGCACCGAAAGTAGAGGTGCACCTTTTGCGAGGACTTATGGTTAATTGGTCTTCTACGCCACATGCACTTTACTAGATATTTGGTTTTGTAATCACATGATAAAAATAACATATTGATAGCT